GCCTTTGATACAGTATGGCGAGATGGTCTTTGGTGTAAACTTTTCAGAAGTGGGGTTAACGGTAAATGTTTTACTTTTATTAGAAATATGTATAATGGTATCAAATCTAAAATACAGATGAATGGTGTGTCATCAGAATTTTTTAACTGTAATGTTGGTGTACGACAAGGGGAAAACTTATCGCCCTTCTTATTCTCATTGTATATTAATGACTTGGAAGATTTTTTGTTAGAAAAGAATATTGTCGGTTTGTCTAGCATTAGCAAAGGTATAGAGGATGAGCTGTTTTTGTTTATGAAATTGTTTATCTTATTTTATGCCGACGATACTGTAATACTTGCGGAAACTGCTGACGATCTTCAAAGAGCATTAAATGAATTTTACGTATATTGTGAAAAATGGAAATTGTGTGTGAATATTAAGAAAACAAAGATACTTATTTTCTCAAAGGGTAGACAACCAAAAAATATTTTTACATATAACGGCAGTCTCATAGAAGTAGTCAAAGATTTTAATTATTTGGGGATTGTATTTTCTCGTACAGGCTCATGTAAAGCAAGAAAACACCTATGTGAACAAGCACAAAAGGCAATGTATGGTGTGATACGTAAAATTAGACAATTTAATCTACCCTTCGAATGTCAATTGGATCTGTTTGATAAAGTAGTTTTACCAGTATTGTTATATGGCTGTGAAATATGGGGTTATGAAAATATTGATATTATTGAACGAGTACATTTACGTTTTCTGAAACATATATTGAATTTAAAAAGTACCACTCCAAGTAATATGATTTATGGAGAAACTGGACGGTTTCCATTATATATAAATATTTACTCAAGAATGGTAAAATATTGGGCAAAACTTGTGTATGGGAAAGAAAACAAATTGTGCAAAATTGTATATATGTATTTACGTAAACAATATGATAAAGGAGAAATGATAAACTCCTGGATTTCATTTGTACAAAATATTTTGACAGATGTGGTTTATCAAATATATGGTATGAGCAATATTTCTATAATGTAGAATGGATAACTGCTACAGTCAAACAAAGATTAAAAGATCAATATATTCAAAAGTGGAATAGTGAAGTTCAAGAATCTTCAAAAAGTTTAAATTATAGAATTTTTAAAACCAATTTTGAGTGCGAAAAATATTTAATACTGTTATCATGTAAATTTAGAAAAACTTTAGTTAAATTTAGAACCACAAACCACCATCTTCCAATTGAAACATGTAGATGGAATGGTACTCAAAGAAGTGAAAGATTCTGTAGCTTATGTGATAGTAATCAGATAGGAGATGAATATCATTATATTTAAGAATGTAGTGCTTTAAATCAAGCGAGGAAAATTTTTTTGAACCCAAAATTTTGTTCTAAGCCAAACACTATGAAGTTTTGTGAAGTTATGTGCCAAAATGATGCTGATTCTTTGAAAAAATTATGTACATTTATTACTAAGATTAATAGTATGGTCTGTTCTCCCTAGCTAGCTTAATTAATCTCACCTTTTGCTTGACCCACTGTATTATATGTATATATGTTTTATATGTTTATGTACCTCATGTAACCATTTACATGGTTTTTGAGTGAATAAATTGAATTGAATTGAAAGTTACAGAAAAAAAGATACCGAAACAGCTATGGGAAGTATTTGCAGTATATCGAAGGAATTACAAAAAGGCAATAACTAATGTTTCTCCGTTCACGCATTTTTTAAAAAAACATATCTCTGTTAAATGTGAGTTCTTCAATATTCACTATTGCATACGTCTATATATTTTTTTATATCTAGCAATTATTTGAAACTGTAAAAAGTTTGTCATTAGAACCAAATTTCACATTGCTGTTTACCTCGAACCCATAAGTACGCGAGGACGGAAATACCTTAAATTTATTCTTTGGCTTAAACAGTGTTAAAGAGGAAAAAAAATGTGTGGCAAGGCCATCATTAAAAATATCTTTGTTTCTCCTAATCCGACCCTAAAATCTCAAGTTGGATAGGTAGGTAGGCAAATAAATTTTTTTTCTGACAGCAGCTTTGAAAATACATTTTGCAATTTAATGGAATGATACCTTTATAAATGAAAGAAAGTACAAAAGAAAGTAATTTGTAAACAGAATATCAAACAATTGCCGTTTAAAAGTAACATTTAAGGTAAATTTACAATTCACAACAATTATTCCTTGAAAAATATCTCAAGCAAGTATAAATCTATTGAAATCAAATATTAAAAAAGAAGACTTTAAAAATACTTAGATACGTAAAGACTGGACATCCAAGTATATTTTTCAAACCTACTATCAGCTTCAAATGCTTACGTTATGCAAAGTACTTTTTCAAGGGCCTCTAATTGTGAATTTCAATATGGGGTCCCGAACTAAGGAGCTACACTGTAATTCTAAGTCGCAGGTTCAAATCACATTGTGAGACGTTGACACCGGTCAGACTGTAAAATTTAGGTCCAGTGTCCCAGTAGATGCTGGAACAAAAACGATCCATCACTGCTCGATTGTAAAAAAGTGCCTGGTTCAAGTCTAAATTTGGAGCCCTTCACAGGGCAAATGTTCAAACAGTTCTCAAAGGAATTTAAAGTAAACAAAAAACCTAAGCACAGCCTACATAGTATAAATTTTATCCCATCAGTCCACGAACCAATCATACATGCTAGAGCTAAAAATACCTCTTTTTGGTACCGTCACAATGTTTGGAATCAATGCAAATTATTGTATAAATAAACATTGTTCTAACTTTACGTAAATCTGTTTATCAATATATAATTATTTAACATTTGTTTATTTATTTTCTTTGTCTAGTGTCTTAAGCGTAATTTTTAAAAGAAAAAAAGAAGATAATTCATTTTAATATTTGCAAAAGAAAAAAAAAACATCTAAAATAAATAAATAAATAAATAGATCAAAAAATGCATTAGCAAGAAGTTGCTGGACAATTAAAATTATTTATGACTCAAGAGTTAAAACCATGTCCTGAATTAAAAGAAGCAGTGTTAGATCTTGTGTTGTTATGGCTACTTACAAACTGTTACCCGTCATGTTGTCTTCCTCTGGATCCTGCTTTACTTCCCGTCATGCACCACGTGTAATACGATAACATGAAGGGTAATTCACGGATTTTCCGCGCACGCGTATTATATCATGTTGACAAGGACATACTTTATAATCCTGTAACAGGGGTACTCTGTCACACAGATGGACCGCGGAGGCTTTTGGCAATAAATCGGTAAGATTTTCAACTACAGTCCGTTTTGAATATATTTTATTGAATAAATTAAATATGTTGGAAAATGTGAATAATGCAAGTAATGTATTGAAAATACAATTATCAGAATAAATTTATCATTTGAGCAGTTTTTCATACTACACTTAAGTGTAGATTACAAAATATATGAGGTCTGTGATGAAGTGTAAATGAGAATCCAATTTTTAAAGAAAAATAAGCTTTGAATAAAAAAAAAAATAACTCTTCCTCCAAGAAGAATCCAACCAAGTAAAATAATTATAGAAAAATCAACATTAAAGCATCACACATCACAAGTTTAAAGAAACATTTCAATTTTGTTACACAATATATTTTTAATTTATTTTATAAATTATGAAGGGTACATGCTAATGAATCCGAACGGTAATAACCAGTCGTCATTATGTTCAAACAATTTTATACTTAGTGCTTGTGCACCTAAATTGATATGAGGCTTTGATAATTTTGGTAATATGTCGATTTGAATAACAAGTAAAAAAAAAAAAGGCAAGACCACGATTTTTGGGAATAAAGGTGTGGTTAATAAGCAGAAGTATACAAAGAAATGAAAATCCTGGGCAAAGACAGGCAACAGCATTTTTCAAATTAATTTTCCAATGTATCAAAATTAGTAAAGTATTCTCACAGATAAAGATTTCTTTCGACTTGATGAACAAATGAATACACTTAGACCTTAGTCCGTGTCAAATTATGGCTCATTTTAGAGATATTTTGAATGAAATATTTAAAAGGGCAAGCCTCTTAAAATCCTTAACATACTGTTACAGGAGCCAAGCGAATATCATTGCAAGAAAACATGAAGTTCGCGCTTGTGTTCGTGACGGTGCTCGCCCTTACTCACTCCACGTCGGCGTTCAGTGACTGGGGAAGCTACTACAACTATCTCTACAACCAAATAGCAGCCATTAAAACCAATATTATCACTCTCAATGGCCTCGTAAACGTCTGTTCCTGTGACATCGTACTAAAAGGTAAGGTTCAGACGAGCTCAGATACGGCAAACACGCTCATAGCAAACTGAGCTCACATCAAATACGCTCATAGCAAACTGAGCTCACATCAAATACGCTCATAGCAAACTGAGCTCACATCAAATACGTTCATAGCAAACTGAGCTCACATCAAATACGTTTATAGCAAACTGAGCTCACAGCAAATACCTCAGAGCAAATTGAACTCACAGTAAATAGGCTCAGAGCAAACTGAACTCAAATGCAGTAATCACACTCATAGCAAACTTAACTCGGATACAGTAATCTCGCTCAAATCAAACTGAACTTACATATAATAAACTCGCTCAAAGCGAACCGAACTCAGATACAGTAAACTCACTTATACCAAACTGAACTAATCACACACGCTGAAAGTGCACTGAACTCAGATCTACATGTGATTTGTCTTATGCTGATGTCAATTTGTGTAATTGAAAATGATTTCTGCAATGCTGATGAGATCAAGGAGATAATACATTAGTAAATTCAATTAACATTTAATAACTGTAATCTGCAACCAAATTTACGATTCCGTATCCGTATATTATTTAATCAATCTATCATTATAGTCAGTTCATTTAGCATCAGACGTCCTTTGTGTGAAATTTTAAAATGTCTTAAAATTATATATTTGTTTTATAAAAGCATTATTATTAGTTATCTTATTAATGATACTTTTGAGCTGTATTCAAACCCATGACTTATGGTTTTTAAATATATTTAGGTGAAAAAGGTATTAAAGGTGACGTGGGACCTACGGGCCCCGCTGGGGCCGCAGGAACTAAAGGAACCAAAGGTGAACCGTCCACAGACAAAGGAGATAATGGGGCGCAGGGATCAGGGGGGGCTACTGGTCCTGGCACTCCGGGATCACAAGGACCAGGGGGTGATCCAGGATCTTCTGGTAGTTCAGGAAGTAAGGGAATTAAAGGCGATCAAGGACAAAAGGGAGATCTAGGAGATACAGGCGATAAAGGAAGCAAGGGCAGTAAGGGTGCTAAAGGGGCCACAGGCAGCGCTGGGGATACAGGGGATCCCGGTCCAGCGGGACCAAAAGGAGAGCCTAGTGGTCCTTCAGGCGACAAGGGAAGCAAAGGCGCTAAAGGGGACAAGGGTGAAGTAGGCATTGTAGGCGAGAAGGGAGCGATTGGACTTGTACAGTAGATGATGTCGGGGAGAAAGGAGATCTTGGATTGATACTGTAGCACGCCAGGAGATAGGGAAAAAGGAGTTATCGGATTTATATTTACCCTTCACCAAGATAATGATAATGGTTTTGTTCTAATCTGCTTAAAAATGAACAAAGATTTTCATTGCATTCTACATGAAAATTTGGATCTCCTTTCAACTTTGGGAGAAAAAAATGGACCAATACTAAAACTTACTATGTAAAAGTGTGTGAAATTTAATAAATATTTAAAGCTGTTTCTTTCAATTATTTTGCTAATTACGATCATTTCTATTTGTCGAGATTTGTCCACAGAACCACTGTGTGGGTGTGTGAGTGGGTGTGTGTTTGAAGGAAGGAATATTTAGTCTCTTGTGCATGGTATCCTTTTGGAAAGCATTTCTATCCAAAATTTGAGAACGCAAGGTTGAAAACTAAGTTACTGTGTCATAGACACACAGACGGAGGGACAGACCACACAATTTATGTGTCCTCCTTTTATAGTCTACTTGAAAACTGTTGGCGTTATTCTATCACAATAATAAAAGTCTGTACAAATTTTAAAACTGAGATATCTGGTCACAAGAGAATGATAAGGGACAGACAGTAAATCTGATTTTTATTATTGTTTAGGACTTCCACATTTCATGCGGGTCCCTTGAAAGTTATACAAATGAAGCATACGAGGGTTGTCCCAGTCTTTATACCCAACATGCCTTTTTTTTTCTCTTCTCAAACTGAAATGCAATTAACATTTAATGTATTTCATTTTTCCTAATAATAACAGATTTAATAAGAAGATAATATAAAATTAAGAAAGCATATAAGTTTACACCAGGCACGAAAGCAAATGTATTGTCGTTTACTAATTATTAAATTAGAAATACACACACACACACACCCTCCCTCACACACACACACACACCCTCACACACACACACACACACACACACACACACATATATATATATATATATATATATATATATATATATATATATATATATATATATATATATATATATATATATATATTTATATATATATTCGTGTTTGATTTAAATTGTGTAATTTACAGGAAAGTCCTATCTTTATATAAAATAACAAAACAAATAGAAAGATCCTTTTAATTTTAGTTAGTCTGAACTTATATAAAATACGCCGTATATGACTTTTAAAATTGCTCTTGATTAGATTGAGATTACAGTCCTATACAGATCTCCTTACATTGTAGTTTAAACCATATTTTATTTGAAAATGACAAGCAGAAAATACTGGCAAGTAGTACAAAAAAATTAAAAAGGATTCGGAAACAAGTTTGAAAACTTATCCGTTTCCTTAATATTATGATTAAGATGACAGACCCTTATTTAATAGTTACAAAACACGGTTTAAGCTGCTTAAAAACTAATATTTGACATACATGATAAATTAGAAATCTGAATTTGACAATCATTGCTCTACTTCTTAGGCTTGCTATTTTCGGTACTGAGGTGAAACTGTTGTTCACTCTCTCTCATCATTTATAACCATCTTCTCTCATCCTCACTTCTTGTGTTTTGTCACTTCTATACATTTTTTCGTCTCCGAAGGGTTCATACAATATTCAAAACAATTAATATTTTTTGTTAAATACCTGTACGCCGGGAAGACGTTAACGGTTTTGACGACGCCATGCAGCAAACTCAATTCAGAGTACGTTTTGAAATAATGTCACCAGTCTTCTGTCTCTGAAACCATTTACTTGAAAATTGGACAAATTACTTAGATTTTTTTCTGATTTAACAAATATAAATTGTATTTGATGTTCTACAAATTATTAGAGAAGCAATTGCAATAGTACCAGACGTAAAATAATCTAGGATTTTTTCCGTGCGTCGACAGACCATCCCGGCTTTCTTATAAATTGTCATATTGATATTATTGCTATGAAATATATTTATTTTAGAATTCACTATTTTGAGGGACATTCGATAGTCATTTAAAATTTTGTTAGTACTGGTTGAATGTCTACAAGAATGTCTACAAGTTACAAACATTGTCTAAAACTTTTTGGGACACGCCTCATACTTGCAATGAGCCTAAGGATACTACATACAAGCACAGGGCTTTCACAACTGCTTTTATAACTAATGCTCACAATGATTACGTCATCTTCTTCTTTAATTACAAGTATAAACAGTTTGAAACATGTCTTGTGCTACGTTTTTATATTCGCACATTGCAACGGTGATGGGGTATATACACGGCGGTTCATCTAAACTTTTCACGTAGTCGTGTTCATCGTATTTTTCATGCTGCGGACATACACCTAGCCTTGAAGCATAATGCTGGTATCCACCGAGCTTTGATGATCGGGCAAATATACCTAGCCTTGAAGCATAATGCTGGTATCCACCATGGGCGGATACAGGATTTGTGATTGGGGGGGGGTGGATAACTTTGTTTAGGCAGGGGGACTGGGGGCCGCCTTAAGGCCCCCAGTGGGTCCAGGGCGAAGCCCTGGTGGGGGCCCAGGGTGCGAAGCCCCCGTAAGCTCCTGGGTTTTCGTGTATTTTAAGAGTAAAACCAGGCACAATAATAGGGGTATTGGTTAGTATATATGTACCAAAGTTTGGCATTATTAATACTAGTCATATCATACTTTGAATAGAGGGGGCCCAGGGGGCGAAGCCCCCGGAAGCTCCTGGGTTTTCGTGTATTTTAAGAGTAAAACCAGGCACAAAAATAGCGGTATTGGTTTGTTATATACCAAAGTATGGCATTATTGATATTAGTCATATCATACTTTGAAAATTTTAGGGGGGGGGGGCGTGCGCCCCCCACGCCCCCCCCCTTAAATCCGCCAGTGTCCACCGAGCTTTGATGCATAAATCGGGCATATATACCTACATGTAACCTTGAAGCATAATGCTGGTATCCACCTTGAAGCATATTGCTGGTATCCACCGAGCTTTGATGAATAAATCGGGCAAATTGATATACCTAACCTTGAACAGGTCCTGTTGAAGCATATTGGTTCCTATGTCATGATTAATTATGAGTTATCTATCTTTCCTCACCATAATATCTGAATCAAAACGTAACGAACATTAAACATACTACTTTATAAGAAAATAGCAGAAATTACAGGCACGTAGCGTCGATTCTCATTTAGGAAGGAGGGGGCAGAAATTATTTGATAGACAAAAAAGAGGGGTTGCTAAAAAAATTTACAATAAAAAGGGGACACTCATTTAACAAAAGCAAGAGGCCCATGGGCCACAATGCTCACCTGAAATATACTTTAGCTCTGCTGTTCTTCAGATTTTGAAGAGACTTCAATATTACCTTGAAAATTATGGTCCCACCCTAACTCTAAGAGGTCTCTGAATCTACACACCATAGGGATGCTTCAATATGATTAACATGGCCTTGAAGTTGTGGAGAAGGACATTCTTTTCCTGAATACATGCATTATGTAAAATACCCGGGGTCCATAACTCATCCCCCCAAAAAAAAACTTATAAGGGAATGACTGCAAATTAATGGTTCTATAGTGTTTTTTAGAAGACTATATATGAAAACTTTGATCCCTTATTGTGCCCCCACCCTACCCCCAGGGTCCACAATTTGAATAGTTTACAATCTAGAGGGGTTTTTTTTGGCATAAATGCATAGGGATTTCACTGTTCGTGACGTTTTGGGGCCTAACCATTGCATCATAATAACTGCCATCTCTCTGTGTACAGGGGTAAATTCTGGCTCCTTTCTCAACGCCCTGTCTACTAGTATACTCAGGCACCGGGTATCCCCCTTGATACATCACACCCGTGGTCGCGTACCTTGACACTACTGTGGCAACTCCCTCTAAAATACCAGCCATATATTACTCCCGTGTATTCTAAAATTTTTACTTGTAATTTATTATTTTCCATTTGTATTGTATAATTTTTCATTTGTGTTGTAAAATTTTTTATTTATATTCTATAATTTTCCATTTGTATTCTATAATACTATACAAATGGAAAAGTATACAATACAAAAGGAAAATTATACAAAAATGAGAAATTATACAGAACAAATAGAAAATTACACAATACAAATGGAAAATTATAAAATACAAGTAATGATTTTATAAGTAAATAATTATACAATACCAATTGAGAATTATAGATTACAATTGAAAAATTAAAGAATACAAAAAAAAAATAACAATATAATTGAAAATTATCCAATACAAATGGAGAATTACAGAATACAAATGGAAAATTAAAGAATACAAATAAAAAATTTACAATACAAATGAAAATTATATAATACAAATGGAAAATTATAAAATACAAATAAAAAATTTTACAATGCAAATGAAAAAATATACAATACAAATGCAAAATTCTACAATACGAATGGAAATTTATACAATACAAATGGAAAAGATCGAATATTGCAACGTTTGCCATGCCATAGAATGTTGAATGACGCCATTCATACAAACTGTTAGGTCATTGTTTTTATACTGAATTGATTAATGGCTTTTCTGTTTACCCAATCATGACAAAGAGCACACGGCGGGTGTGACAGGCCAACATGGGATTCTTACTCCTCCATGGCACCTGATCCCGCCTCTGATGTTTTTTTTGAGGTCCGTGTTTGTTCTGCTCACAAATTGTATTTTTTCAATGGACTTTTGAACTTGATTACTTGATTAATTCATATTTTACTGTTGACGAAAGAACACATCAAGAAAATTCATGTTTTAAAATTATATAATCCATAATATTAGAGGTATATCATATATGGCAAAATTCTTTTCAATATAAAATTCTAAATTTTTGTACATTCAAAATTCTACGCCGCGTAAATATGGCTTGAATATTTGCCGATTCAGTGTTTAGCAATGAATAATGAATCAATCAAAATTTTACAATGTTCTTCCACCCAGCATAGCTAGCAAAGAATTCAGGGTACACAGTAAGTAGATAATGCATAACATATCATAAAACCATTAATCCAA